ACGTTGTGTTCAAGATCTAAGTTTCTTCGACGTTTCAGAGAACTTTTTTATATCTTTTCTTTTCTTTTTCTTTCTTTTTTTTCTCTTTTTTTCTTTTTTTTTTTTTTCCTATCCACCGAGGGTATGTATGTATGCATGTATGTATGTATATATGTATATATGTATGTATATCTCATTAGATGGTTCGGAATCTTTGTCGAGAAAAAGATAAAAAATAATTCAATATACTTGCCTTTTCTCCGCTGTCACTTGGCAAGTAAAACGTCAGAACAGTAAGAAAGGAGATCCCCATGCACGGTATGATGATGTTGACGGTATAGAAAAGAGTTTTCCTTCTCATCGTTATGTTGAATGTAATATCGAGATAAGGTTCGTCGCAGCACGTATAAAATTTCTCATTTCTGAAAAAGATAATATTTTGACGTGTTGTTATGAATTATATTATCTCTTTTTTTTTTCATTTTCTCCTTTCTTTCTTTCTTTTTTGTTCGATAAGAGATATCTCAAGTTAACCAAAAAAGTATTGAATATTCGATGATTATTAAAAAGAAACGAATCGTTTATACTGCATGTACGAATATAATTCGTTCGAGTTAAATATTTGATGATTTCAGAAAAAAAAAAAAAAAAAAAAAAAAAAAAGATAAGAAGAAAAGAAAAAAAAAGGCAAATCCTTTATACAAATATAATTTGTTCGAGAATAATTCGTACAATAACTGCGTTATACGTGAAACTAAAGAGTTTATCGCATTGGTAGCGACATCAAGTGGCAAGTGTTCGTACTTAAAACGTAATAATTAGTAATTAGTTCGCGTACACGAGCGCTGACGATCTTCCAGTGTCACGTGACTTAAAGCTCATTGGTTATAAGCTGTCAGATCTTGTCGATTATTGGTAATTACTGATTAAAATTATTCGCTACGATTTACCGGAAGTCGTGTGTATCCTTACGAAAATAAATGATCAAAGTAAACGATCGAACGTTTTCAAATTTTAACGTACGTGTATCTGTCGTAATACTACTCGACTTCTTGGAAATATTTTTGTTTCTATTATATCGTTCGAAAAATTATTACAATACGATAGTGTTTCGTTTCACGATAGAAAAACTTTTCTTCTTCATTCCTAAGAGATCTTTCTACAATTGCGTTTTTCTTTTAAAACGATATACTCGACACGATATTCCGCTATTACGTAATACTTATGTATCCGTGATATCTCGTTACATCGTTAAGTATCTATTCGAAAAGTTATTACAATTCTATCGTGTGTTTCGTTGTCCATACGGGAATTTTTTGTTTTTCTTTACAAGACGTGTGTTCTTCCCTTTTTCCTCTTTACAATAATTCCTATTACACGCGATGGTAATTAGCCATTATGTATGTACTTGCACACTTATGTATCACGTTAGTATTCTCGTCGTATATAATAAAAACCTTTCGTAGTGTCCATTATGGAATATCGTAGGACGTTAATTCAATCGAAATGAAATTAATTCACACCGACAAATGTAATTCGATGGTTCATCGTCTTCTAAAATTCTCAAACGAACGACCATTGGGATCTTGAGTGTCGCGTTCAGACCAACGGACAAATTTCAAATTTTCTACGTATTATGTATGTAAGTATGTATGTATATACTCATGTATTTATGTATGAATTTATATATGTATCGTAGTTTAATAAAATTTAATTCTCACCGTACTGCAGGCACTTCTAGAATATCCCACTCAACCGACATGTAGAATTCTGAAAGATCAACTCCAACCTCCACAACGTTACTTCCGGATTTCTCATCCATGTGCCTTAGATCGACCTACGTGAAACAAAATCAAAGAGAAAATTCATCGATCAGGTTTGATCCATATTATATTTTAACATACAAGTTTCAAAGAGATTTGCTCATTTTCAAACGCCATGCCCACGATAATAGAAAAGCTACTCCTTAAAAACGAATCTGCGATATTTCAATATGAAAGATCGCAAGAAAAAAAAATATATATATATATATATAAATTTTTTTTTATATTAATTGTACTACGATATAATCGTATGATAAAGAATTTCTTTTCTTTTTTTCTTTTCTTTCTTTCTTTTTTTTTCTTTTCTTTTTATTTCTCTCGCAGGTTCGTTATTAAAAAGTATTATTACAAATAAATAATCTGTAAACAATTTCGAAGTGCACGTCTTGAGATGCACTTTGATGCTCGCCAAAGCGTAAACTGAGCAAAAATTATCTAACAGTTGGAATTTTCGTCCGATTGATCCGACGATCTTTAGCGATTTTTTTACGGATCGAAATTCTTTCTATCTTTCTTTCTTTCTCTTTTTCTTGTTCTTTCTTTTCCTTATTTCTCTCTCTCCCTCCCTCTCTGCCCCATCACTCGAATAACTTCGTACGTACAATCGTCGAAGAAAAATCCAACTAGAATTCCAACGTTTTCTCGCTCAACGTGGGCGTTGCGAGCGCTTAAATACTAGCCACTGAAACAAACGCTTTCCTCGTTTGATCGAGGATCGTCGACCGGGTCCATCAATTCCGAAGATAATATTGAAAGACCATTGTAAATTCAATATTATTTTGTTGACAAAACAAACAGACAGAAGATCCAATTGATTCATTATAACAACCTTCGATTTTGGTTCGGATTTATCACAATAAAAAAATTAAAAAAAAGAAAAAAATATATATAGATAAAAAAAGAATTGAGAGCAATTTAATCATATTACTTATATGTATTAATAGAATTATATTTCGTTAAGGAGGGGGGAAAAAAGAAAGAAACAAAAAGGAATACGACTTATGTCTTCCAGGAAAAAAAGAAAAGAAAACTTGAAAAATATTTCAGGTACGAAATATCGATGAACTTTTATATATACAAAGTGATGTAAAATTAAAAGAGAGAGACAGAGAGAGAGAGAGAGAGAGAGAGAGAGAAAGAGAGGGAGAGAGAATGAGAGAGAAAAGAAAAGAAACAATTATTGATGATATATGTAAGCGTGGGATTTGAAAATAAATTGACCCCGATTATAGATGGTTCAAAGCAATAATTTCTTCGGATTTGATCAGACCAACTTAAATCTACGTAAACTAGTTCTCCTTTTTACTAGCCACTCGAATATTTACACCACATTCAACGTACATTCGCGCTCGAACGCGTGCTTATCATTGATTAGAAACAGGCTGTTATTAAATACACAAAAATATATACATATATATATATATATATGTATATATATGTATGTATGTATAATATGACAAAAAGAAGTCCCAGGCAACGATGATCATAAGAACACTGACGAGAGCATCGCATCGCTAACAACAAGTGAAAAATGGATTTGATGGACGGACCTAAGTAAAGGAAATTATTAATTTCTATTTTCTTTTCTCCTTTTTATTTTTTATTTTTATTTATCATTTTATTTTCTTGTTTCTTTATTTCTTCCTTATCTTTTATTTTATTTTTCGTTCGACGATGAAATGCCACACAAAAATAATTATCAATTTCTTTTGATTAGTGACCATCCATCGTTTCTAGGCGACTAAAAGAACGTCGAACTTTGTGCAATAATAATAATAATAATAATAATAATAATAATAATAATAATAATAATAATAATAACAATAATAATAATAATAATAATAATAACAATAATAATAATAATAATAATAATAATAATAATAATAATAATGATAATGATAATTATTATTATTATTATTATTATTATTATTATTATTATTATTATTATTATTATTATTATTATTTGTTTCGAGTTAGATACAGCGAACCTTCTCTTCTGACGAAAACGAAGACGAACGAAAGAATTAAAGAAAGAGAGTGAGAGAGACAGAGAGAAAGAGAGAGAGAAAGAGAGAAATAAAGAGGGTCCGTGCGTGCGTGTGTGTGTGTGTGTGTGCGAAAGTTAGCCCCAAAACAATCGATTGTCTTTCAACTATTTTTGGCACATTTTATTTTCGAACTATAAACTGTACGGCATATATCTCTAAATGGAAATTCTATTTTCTTATTTGTCAGGACATGTTTTTTTTTTCTACCTTTCAATCTAACAATAAAAATCATAGGATGCAATTTGCCAATCTACGAACTGTTACTAAAGGCATAGTAGATCTATCGATCGAACAATTTTCAGACTATCTCTATTTCTGTTAGTTGAAGAAATATAAGTATATAATATTTGTGCTGCTCTGTCCGCTCGTTTGTGTGCATGTCTGGAGAGTGAATGGAAGAGACAAAGAAGAGAAAGAAAGAAAGAGAGAGAGAGATCGAGAGAGAGAGAGAGAGAGAGAGAGATAGAGAGAGAGAGAGAGAAAGGGAGAGAGAGAGAGGCACACATAAAGGAGATAAAAAGCAACGTAAATTTACTAATCTCTGAGAAATTTCTATCTTTTCTTTTCTTTTTTTCTTGTTTACTTAAGAATAAATATTTTTTAATCACTTTGAATCACTGGATTGTAATGGAATTTTAAAGTCGAACGTAAGAGAATTTATTATCGAAGTACGTTTATTTTAGCGACGGCACAGAAAGACAGAAAGAGAAAGACAGAGAGAGAGATAGAGAGAGAGAGAGAGAGAGAGAGAGAGAGAGAGAGAGAGAAACCGACGACGTTTAAATTAGTTCTACTTGTGGATTTAAAATTCGTGTTTAACCGTCCACTTTTCTTTGGGTCAAGTAGCAGCCATTACCGGTACTCGTGGAAGCGAAAATATTTCCGGCATCTGGCTATGTTAATGCTAAATTTAAAAATGCACGATACTAGGCTAGTGTCGTCTTTCGAATAAATGTATTAGAATTTCTTTTTTCTTTTTTTTTTTTTTTTTTTTTTTTTCTGGTAGTAAGTAATCTTTCTTTTCTCTTTCTTTTCTTCCCTTCGTAATGGCGTAAGACAAATTATATTAGGGGGAAAGGGCGAGTGGTCATTTTCTAATGGATTCTTTTTTCTTTTCCTTTTGTAAGAATGTTCTTTTTTTTTTTCTCAAGTTTAAGAACTAGTAAGATATACCTTATATACTACAGATAAATCTTACGATACATTGAATAATGTTAATAATTAATTTCTTAGTGATTTCTGGTAAACTGTCAGAGCGTCGACATTATATGCTATAGAAAGTCATGACGTTTAAATTATACAACGAGATAGAAATTGAATCTCTCTGTCGGAGATTAAGTTTTCGTTAGGAGGGATAGATTAAATTAATTGGAAGCGTTGTAACCAAGGACGGTACTATCTCTCCTCCATTTCATTGTTTAAATCCTCCTAAACTCGACGAAAGATACTTTATTATTCTGCGGTGTAAAGGATAGATAACGAATTTATTTGATTTGACGCGCGGAATTAACTGCGAGAGATGATTGCGTTCCCGTATAACGATCCCTGATAATAAATTGGGTATAAATAGATAATAGGTATGCGCTCGATATTCGATATTTAATTCGATCGAATAATTTGTATTCGTTTTGCTGAACGTTGAAAAGACAGAGAGAAAGGGAGAGAGAGAGAGAGAGAAAGAGAGAGAGAGAGAGAGAGAGAGAAAAGGAAAAAGAAGCGCGTTGGAAAAGCGAAGCGGAAAATGTTCTGGTCCCTTGCGTGCAAGAGATTCGTTACAAGTTTTGTAAGAGTAACGAGGATGAAAAGAACGCGTTTGTGTTGAGTGTGTGTATACTCGTATGCGGGACGTGTGAACGTTCCGCCACACTTTCGGCTCAATTTCTCACACAGTCTCGTTTTTCTCGATTCTTTTTTTTTTTTTTTTTTTTTTTTTTACGAAAGCAGGCAAAGAGGCAAAGTGGAGAGAAAAAAGAAAGAAGGAAAAGAAGAAGAAGAAGAAGAAGAAGAAGAAGAAGAAGGAGAGCAAAAGAGCAGGGTCAAAGGTTGGCGCATACTATTTGGATTCCCTTTTGGTCTCTTGATTAAAGAGATATGTGTGCTTTTTCATTTTTTTATTAATTTTTTTCTTCTTTCGTTTTACTCTTTCGATCATCCTTCCTCGTGCTCGTCAAAATTAATAAAGTCCACGTGCGTGCGGGGGAGAGAAAGAAAGAGAAAGAAAGAGAGAAAAAGAGAGAGAGAGAGAGAGAGAGAGAAAATATGAACTTTGAGATATCTTCTTTGTTTTTTTTTTCTGTTTTTTTCCCCCCTTTTTTCTTCTTCCTCCCTTCTCTTTTATCCGTTTAATTATGAAAGAATCGATTGAAGCTTATTCGCAGCCGCGCAGAGATATTCGACGGTCGGAAAATTTTCCTTTGGATTTATCTTTCCAATACCTGATGTAATAAATCACGCCAGTAGCACATACGTTATTCACCAATTCTCGCGTACGTCACCAAATGGTGCGAGAGCATAATCGAGGATAACTCAATAAATATTTCATGCCTGCTGGGAGCACGGCTTGACGCCGTAAGATCGATGATACGTCTCAAACGACTATACCTTATTCTGCATCCTTTTTCTATACTTTTAGCCAGTATAGTTTATATTTGTTTCATCTTAAATATTATAATTTTTCCTTTATTTTTGGCGATTAACAATAATAACAATGTAAAAAAGAAAGAAAGAAAGAAAGAAAGAAAGAAAGAAAGAAAAAAAAACAACACATAACGTGTAAACGTGTAAAACGGAATAACGAATACAATAGAAAGTAATAAGATTTAAATTAATAAGAATTTTCTATGATTTTAGTTGGATTGAATTGGATTCGATTGTAATCAAATTTTGATTATGAATTGCACGAAAATGTTAATATTGGATTTGATAAGTATTGGTATTGAAAGTATATGCGTATTAGAAATCAACGA